AAGCCCAGGGCACTGGGAATACTTCTCTGTCTCCTCTGGGGTGCACTGACTTTGACCCTCATTCATGGAGAAAGTTTCCCAGACTTCAAGATAGACTGGAACCCATAAAAGTGTGAAATAGATTATAGAGGGTAGTGTAGCTGGATCACTTGGTGAGAAATTTAGGTTTTGGGGTTTTTAGCATGTTGTCGATGGAAGCAAGATGGAGGGCACAGGGTGGCATCCTGGGTTTCTTCTTCATGCTTCTTCCTTCTTCTCCATGGGTTTTGGGTGGCATTTTGTAATTGGGCAGAAAAGTCCCCATTGCAGCTCTTTGGGATCAGTTATTGGGTTAAAAGGGAAAATAATCCAGGTGTCAGTTCTTAATTGGATAGTTTGGTCTTAAAAGACCTTGGAACAAGAGATTGTTGGCCATTTTGTGCCTTCTAATGAAAAGCTGCTGAACTCACAGTAGTGAAACTGTTATACTGATAAGAAATAATAAACACTTGAGTCCAAACACGAATTACTGTCTCAAGTGCCTTCAGTCCAGACCCAGAGAAAGCAAGGACTGGTACTGCCACACAGGTGAATCTGTTCTCTGCAACAGCTTCAATGGCCTGAGGTTGCATGCAAAACTTTTGCAATAATTTACCATGTTCCTGCCCTCTTTCACAGCAAAGAAGACGTACTAAGGTTTCCTGTAGCAGGGGAAGAAGAAGGGGAAGGGAGCAGCTAATTGGAATGCTGTTTTACCATCTGGCTGGGATTAAGGCCTAGGAGGTCAGCTCTAGCCCCAAGACAGCCCATTGCCTCACTACTCTCAATTTGACACCTTTTATGCTCTCAGGTCCAACGACATTCAGCTGAACATCTCCTGACAAGGCTCAGGTGCCTGGGGATACCTCGGAGTGATTCCTCCTTTCTCGTGGTTGTCCACCAGAGACTTTCAGGGAGGTTAATCTGGATCAGCTTTTGAAGGCAAGGCTTAAACTGCAGGAGGCTCCCAAGCAGCCTTAACCCAATTAAGCACCAGTCCCTTAGGAGGGAGGCCAGCTGAGCTCACATTAAAGCCCATCAAGTGCCCAGTTAATCAGGTACATTTTAGCATCACAGCTTTGGTCATCCCAGCAGAGGCCACCAAGCCTGGAGACACCTCATCATTTTTCACCTCCTTTTGTCACTCAGGTTATTTCTGCCATTACTTTGGGCAGCGAGATGAAAGGCCCAGCAGCTCTGCCCTTACCCACTTTGCTCTCCAGACTCCCCTCCGGTTTTTCTTTTCACATTAACTGTGTCACACACCAGATTCTCATTGACTAAGTGCCCGAGGGGGACCCTCGCTGAGTGTTAATTGCTGCTAATGAGCTGTTGCTGCTTTCCTTCCAAGAGCACCAATTACAGCAGCACTCAAGCTCTGCAAGAGGATGGGAGCCTGCTGAAAATTAAGGCAAATTTTACTCCAGACCCCGACATTGGGCTGCCAGCAACTCCTGAGAAACGCTTGAAATCATGTGAAGGGTGAAGGATGATAGTAACTCTCCTGATGTTGCCTGTCCCCTTGATCCTCATAAGGTGGACCAAGGGTGAATGGGAAGTGTGTGACTTGCTTCCCATATCTCCTGTTGGGCTGCCTTGCAGGGATGTCTACACACAGCTATCCACATGCGTTCTGGCTTTTGTCTTCCTCCAGCCACAAATGCAGGGTCCCACTGGTGGGTTTCACCTGTGGGTGGTGGCCCAGCTGTGTCACAGCTCAGCAGGACTTGTTCCATGTGCTACCATAGCAGGAGGGACTCAGCAATGTGTTCCAGTGCCCACTGATATCATTTCAGCATCAGCCCTTATCTCAGCTTCTGCCTCAGCCACCAGAGTTATCACAGAACATGGGGTGGGTTGGAAAGGACCTCAAGGATCAACTCATTCCAACCCTTCAATCAAAATCAACTCATTCCTGCCCTTCCAAAGGCAGGGACACTTTCCAGTATCCTAGGTCCATCCAACCTGGCCTTCAACACTGCCCACAGCTTTTCTGGGCAACCTGTGCCAAGGCCTCACCACCCTCACAGGGAAAAATTTCCTCCTGATATCTAATCCAAACCTGACTCCTTCAGCTTAAACCCATTCCCCTTTGTCCTGTCACTACATATCCTTGTAAAAAAAAAAAAAAAAAATTTCTTTCCAAATCTCACTTGCCTCCCCTGGGTGAGGGTATAAGCTGGCACCAGCTGTAGCCCTGGAATTATAATGAGATGTTCATCAGCTAAGAAGCACTGAAGCCACCACTGTTCCTCAGCTTTTTCCTCTAATTTACCTCTCTCTAAGCTGCAGCCCAAGAGGGAATTTTAAATCAGAAATGTGTTAAAATGGAAAAAGCTTCTGCTTGAGTGCTTACAATTGTGAAGGACAAGACACAGTGTCGAGACCCTTCACCAAAATATATTGAATCTGTCTACAGTGCTGCTAAGAAATTGCCCAGCCTCTCACTCTGACTTTCTCAATTCAATTATTTTTGGCTGTAGTAAGAAACTTTCACATCCAAATCACTCTTTGGGAAAGCCTTGAAATAAAGTAGATATGATTTAACCCATGAAAAAAGATGCTAAGATTTTTGGTCTCGCCATCTAGATCTGCATCTAAGTTCTCCAGCTGCCCTGCTCATTTAAGTACAACACCTTACAGCAAACACAGCAGCACTCAGCTCTGCCTGAACACAACTCCCCTGCTTCCATGCCTTGGGGTTCACCCACCAATTTTGGGGAACGATACAAACCTGGCCATGGTCTTTGCCAAGCACAAGTTCACCTTGTTTTTTCCCAAACACACACTACCATTTTCCCAGTGGTTTTCCCACAAACAGATTTATTCTTCCTCAGAAACCATCCTCAGTAGGGATGAGCACAGAGAGGGTTGGTGTCCACCAGCATCACCAGACTGGACGGGGATTTGAGCAATCTGGTCTAGGGAAAGGTGTCCCTGACCATCACAGGAGGGGTGGAACTGGATGCACACACAAGTCCTTCCCACCCAAACCATTCAATGACTCCTTTTTCCTGTGATCTCTGAAGGAGCCAGCCAAAAGCAGCTCAGAAGACCTCAGTGGCAGCAGGATTCAACCCATGCCCCCTCATTTCCCAAATGCCAGGCACACTGGATTTCATTTTTCTGAGTTTAGCCTACAATCAATCATTCTTGTTCTCTGCGCAGACCAATGAGGTCTGCGGAAAGAAAATTGCAAAAGATTTGTTATTTCCCTAGTGTTCCCATTTTCCCATTCCTTTCCCACAGAAGCAAGGGGGTTTTTTTTGTTCTGTTTTGTTTTGTTTCCCAACTTTCAGGGGAAAATCCTGACAAATGGAAGCCCTGATTCATACCAGCAAAAATTTGGCCTTTTTCAATTTAAGGTGGAGCCCTTCTTGTCGGAGGATGAAAACATTTCTCTAACTGCACACAGAGGCAAGGACAGAGCCTTTGCCCTGCCAAAACCAAGGCCTAAGTGGTGCCGGGTGCTGATGGCCACCACAAGTGGAGGGAGAGTTGTTGTGGAGGCTTTTCATCTGCTCCATGATCAGGAAAGCACTTGGTTCACAGCATGGGAAACAAAGGGACAGGTGGTCACACGGTAGCAATGGTGGCTGTCACCAAAGAGACCTTCAGAGGTGGGAAAACATCTGGGGAAGGTTGCTTGGGCAGGGACACAGGGTGAAGAACTGTTCCCCATCCTCCTCCTGGGTTTTCTCAGGCAACTTAAGGATGGGTGAGAGGGACTCAGGAAGGGAGGAGGGAAAGTGCTGCTCCTCTCTATCACCACTGCCCAAACACAGAGCCTGCTTCCCTCCTCCCTCTGTGCCCTGCCTGGGAAGGAGCAGAGAGAAGAAGCAGACTTGGGAAAAAGGGATTCACGGCTCACAGCCTACCTGCTCCCACAGCCCAGGGAAGGAAAAGTGAAGGAGAAAGAAGATTAAAGGGCAGATGTGTCCCTAAAACCTTCCCTTGTAACTTTTCTTGACAGATGCTGCCATCTGTGCTGCACCTCTGCCTGTCACCAGGAGCCAACAGCAGGGAATGAGTTTACTCTGACACTGAGACAGAAAGGGCTTTAAATGAAACAAAAAAAAAGGAAAAGCCATTACTTTTTTTCCTCTTCCCCATCTCCATACAGAAAGTACATTCAGCAGAGCCCGGAGGGCTGGAAGCCATCAACAGGGCTGTGGCGCTTCATGGCTCCAGTAGATGGGTGCAAGTCACTGACTGTACCCAGGACACTGTTCCAAACAACCCGGGGTCCCCATCATGTGATTGGATCTTCCTCTCCATCCCCTTCCTTGCTGCTGACTCCAAACACCCCTGGGAGAGCAAGGGCCCCCTAACACAGCATACTGATGCTCCATGGGTTTTAGTCCATGCAGATTTTCAAGGTGTTTTGCACCTGCAGCACACAGTAAAGGCAGACGTCCTCCTCCAACCATGGGAATCTCCTTGTGGGCATCACTCCCTGGGGCAAGATTCAGAAAGTTGCGGGTAGGTGTGCATAAGCCTTTCCAAATCCTGCACCTCGCATCAAGCACTGCTGGCTTGCCTCCTTCTCCCACTTCAGCAATCAAGAAAGGCATTTTGAACACAAATTAAGAAATCAGGCTTTAGCCACATCCAAGGAAGGTGGGAAAGGGCAGCAATTCCTCAACTACTTGCCGTGCAGGGGATCAGGGTAAGCAATATCCTTTGCACAGGCTGCTCTGCCCACACTCCCACCGGTGTGTAACCAGGGGCTGGCAGCTCTGCACTGGGAATGCCCCTGGGCAGGGGGGAGGAAAAACACCCACCGGCAGGGTTTCACAGAAGGGCGCCATGTCACACCGCAGGATTTACTCCTTTTGATGGCAAACACACCCATCCCATGGAAAAACCCCCCTCTGCCTTCCCAAAGCCACCGGTCAGAAGCCACAGCCAGGCGCAGAGCAGTGCTGGGGACAGGGCGCATCCCCTCCCTCCATGTACCACCCCCAGAACCCCGCGCCTACCGCTGGGGCGAGTCCGGGTCGAAGCAGGTCCTGGCCA